AAAAAGAAAGTATCTGCAGCCATGAGTATTAGGTGGTTTCTCTGCCACTGAGCCCAAGAGCTCCTAGCTTAGCAACCACAGAATAGCAGTCCTTCTAAGAACAAAAAAAACACCAAGAGCACAAAGTTATGAGGCATTGAGGCTAGGATCCTCGTATTCCATCCACTCCTTCCAGGCTTGATTTGCAATGTCCCTGTCAGATTTCCATGTGTTGTTGAATATCCAAAGGTTCCTACACTTCCACAATCTCCAAAGAATGTAGGAGGAAAAGTGGATTCTGTCATTGAAGCTTTTCACTCTTTTCATGTTGCATATATCAGTCCACCAGGTTTTGAATTTTAAGGAGGGGTTCTGAAAGCCTACCCAGTCAATACCTGCTATTTTCCAAACATTGATAGCTCTTGAACAAGAAAAAAGGATATGCTCCAGAGACTCAACGGTCGTGCCACAAACCCTGCAAATGGGGTCAGTCTGGATTCCTTTAAGCAAGAGCTGTTCCTGCGAGCCAATATATTTGAACCAACACCGCCAAATGAAATTTTTGATTTTGTTCTTTATCTTCATAGACCATGTTGTTCTCCATACCTTAGCTTCGAGGAGCTTGGTTTGGCCAGATTCAGGAGCATTAGTAGAAAGCTGCTTGCTTTTTAGAATAAGGGAGTAAGCTGATTTTACTGTGAAATTTCCAAGCTTGTGTGGCCACCATTTTAGGCAGTCACTTTGTCTTGGTCTATTAAGGGCTGTGGACAAAATGAGCTGAGCTTCTTGAGGATTAAAGGTTTGCTCTATCAGTTCTTTATCCCATGCGGACCCTTCAGGACTCAGTAAATTACACTTACCTGACTCTTTTAACATACTACTATTTTTTCACTAAATGATGGATATATCAATATTAAGAAAATAAAAATTACAAACGAATAAACAGCTAGAATAGCTTAATCAAATAGCTAAAATTGTTGAATTTTATAAATTACAAAGCCTAAATTAGTCACCTGAACAGCCGTGAGCCGGTTTGGGTGAACCCATTTGGGTCCTCGGTTGTAGGCTCTTCCAGTGTGGCTCGTTGTGCTCTTCCGACGTGACTCCTTCGATGTCGTCTTTCAAGACGGCTCTCCCCCGGCATTGAAGGTTAATGGAGCTCAGAGTTGGACTGAGAATCGTCTCCTTGCCAGATTTGTCTAGGCAGTTCGAGTTTAGACGCAGTTTTTGGGTCTGGAGTCTAGATTTGCAGTTCTATTAGGATTCTCTGCTCTGGATGGTGTCTCATAGGTCGGGTTGGATGGTCGTGTGGTTTGCTGGATTAGGTTTAGGGGAGGCCTTACTCTATTTGTTTATTGTCCACTATTGTTTTTTGGTGTTCGTTTTATTTAGTTCAGATGCGTCTGGCTTTTATTTATGAAGTTTTAGTCTCCTTTATGGAATTTGTGTTTTGTGGGCGTTTATGTCTCCTCTGTGGAGTTTGTACCCCTTGCTTGTGATTTCAAGGGGGCTGGTCCAGACTTTGTTTTGGTTCTAGTAGTGTGATTGCACTCTCTTGAGTTTTAAGTTTTTAATATAATTATCGTTTGATAGAAAAAAACTAGCTAATCACTAGTAAANGACTATAATAAAACCTAATCAAACTCCATTATGGATTTTTTTTTCGGAATGACAAAGATTTTATAAAGCGCACAAATGTGCGAAAAGTAAACATCCCAAAGCTAAATGATACAACTAAAAGCTTAAAACTGGGAGGACAAATCCGGAGATCACCAAGAGACCGCGTTAGCAACGCTAGACCAACACAAGGACAACACAAACAAAAACAACTACAAAGCTCCCAACAAAGAAGAATGACTGATCCCAATAGGATAATACCCACTCACCCTCGGGTTCACTGAGGCCAACGGTCCAAACCAAAAACACAAATCCCAAACAAAAACTGAATATAAACATCACCAAGACAAACTAAACTAGCAAAATTAAAACAAACCATAAAGCCGTTCCTAGCAGACTAATCAAGCCCCGCATAAGGCACCAATAGATAAAGGCCGACCATCCCCACAGCTTGACCCGAAGTCCAGAACACCACTCTCGAAACTGCCTAAACACCTAGCTGAAGTCGAGTCCTGGAGCCCTGAACCACTCCTAGGGAGTAGCCGAACCAAAGCCGGACAAACAAAGCCAGACCCCACCCCACACACCACCACCCCGCACCCGGCCATCAGCACTGGCCTAGGACGAAAGTGCCGGTCTTCCTTGTCCTGCGCACCAAAGGAGCAGAGAAATAGGGGAGTCGAGCCTCGCCCCTCAACCCCAGCCAGCTCGCATTCGACATCAGCGATTAGCCAGGGCCACGCCCTTCCCTCAATCACACACCACGATCCGACACAACACACAAACCAGAGAGGCCGAGAAAGATTTTCGTGAACGGCGACCACCACTCTACGAGAACCGTCCGTCGAACATCTGACCACCACTCTACGAGAATCGTCTGTCCGTTGAACCCTTATGGATTATCAATTAAGTAAATTTTAAAGTAAAAGAGAACAATTTCAGTAAGTTTAGAAAAGATAGAGATTTTTTTTAGTAATCGAGAAAAGTTTCAAAGAAAAATGTTTTAGAAGATTCAAATTATTTCTAAAAACTTAGTGTTTTCTAAAGAAAAACAAGCGGGGTGCTATACTTGTACTTAGCTCGAACTGGTTGTCTTGGCTAGAAATAAAAAAGAAGATCGGGCTGGCAGGTCGGTCTGGCAGGTTGTGAACTCAATGAATATAACTGAGAAAAATTGGTTCTACTCTTAGATCGAGTTATCTCTACTCGACCAGAGTGGGGGACCAAATGATAAGAGATACCATACCAGCATAATTAGGTCCCGTATGACCTAAGAATGGTTCGAACGAATCAAGTGAACCGACAAGTCAATTAGGCAACAAGGATGTCAGAGGTCATGAAAACACCAGGCTAACTGTGACCTCATAGGCAAAGCAATACAATGACAGGTCGAGGTTGGGCTATTAGCTAGCTTGATGGAAACACGGCCTAGAGGCTTATAGGTCAATGTACAATCTAATGAATAAACTTACTCGTTGAAGGTCAGAGTGACATAATTCAGAGAAAACTGAACTAATAGCACAATTATGCTACATAATGAGGTAAATGTGAACACACCATATAATAGAAAAGAAGAAATATAATTAAAATAAGGACACAGGGATAAGACCACATTGGCTAACAAAATTTGGCAATTTGGGCCATCAGGCAATACGTTCGCGTAGCGCGGGCGCTTGGGCAGCTCAGTCGCACAGTCTTGGGTAACATGGTAACACCGCTATATAAAGAGATGAAATATGAATATTAAAACTCTACACAATATAATATTTATACATTCATTATCTTTTTCATCATTGTTTACTTAGGCATCAAAACTTCTACGCTGGGACAATCCCCGACGCTGTTTTATATGTCATTCACCAACTCGTGGACGGATCCAACGTCGTCCAACCGGGTCGAGGTCGTTTGCACTACCAATATCATATATTTATTTAGATTGTTTTCTACATATAACATATCATCATAGAAATATGCAGATTTCTTTAAAAAATGGGTTTTGTTTGCAAAACAAATCACGAATTTTACTTAAATTGCAATTGAGCAAAGCTTTTTAATTTTTGACTATGTAAGTCGCAATTTATATTCCTTGCAAACTGGGGGCATGGATAAAAAAAATGTAGAACTACAACTTCCGTTGTCTGTAAACG